TCAGTTTTAATATTTTTAATATTTTATATTGCTCGGATCCACTTGGAATATATACCAACGTATATATATATATATATGTGTGTGTGTGTGTGTGTGTGTGTGTGTGTATATATATATATATATATATATATATATATATATATATATATATATAGCCATTCCTCGATTAATGCGTTTTCAATTAGAGCGCTAATTTTTATATACCACAATTCGCTTTTTCCCTCCGATTCCGTTCAAACTCGATATGTTGGTTACTTACACCATGACGAGCTCAACGATACTTCATTTTTATTTCTACAACACTGTGTTTAGCGAAGCACCGCGAAAAATGAAAAATCGATTTCAACAGACACCGATTTCAACAGAAATTCAACAAAAAATCCCTTAATTTTCAAGCAACCTAATACAAACATCACTCAATTGTAGCCAACACTAAGTTGATTTAATAGACATTTAACTTGATAATTGAGTTCACCCATATAGTGAAAGCCCGCGTAAATAGCGAAAAATGACGTTTTTTTAATGGCTTTTTATTTTTCGTTGATCTTTCATCCCATTTTCGTCACAATTATTACTTTATATTTGTATCCTCTTTTACATACCTGGTAGCACATTGATAATTTGAATTCCAAAAACTCCAAATAATTGTGGTCTGAAGTTGGTGTTCATGTTGCTTGTTTTATCCCTTTTTGTCGTAGGCTAACTTCTATTGAATAAACACAAACCACTTCTATTATATTAGTAACTGCATTAACTCAAAATGTTTTTTTTTTAATGAAAGTTCTTTAAATTAATTAAAGAAGGTAGAATCTAATACATCTAAACATGTGGCTGTTTTTGCTCCATTTTAATTGAACGCTTTTTCTGATCGTCTAGCTGGGTATGGCTGATAGAATATTTAGCTACTCACAGAGGGTTGCATGTGGCACAAGGCCGGTTTAACGTGGGTTCTTCGAGCCCGTAGGCTCGGCCCAAAATATTCCCTTTCGGACGCGTATAAACGGGTTCAGGGTCAGTCTACCTACCCGAAGTCTACCTGCCCTTTGGCGGAACCTCGTCTGGGTTCCTCTCTGCCCGAAGGCAGAGAGTTCAAATGTATAGCTGGAACAGGTCGCTGCTAGACGCATAGCTGGAACAGGTCGCTGCTAGACGTATAGCAGGAACAGGTCGCTGCTAGACGCATAGCTGGAACAGGTCGCTGCTAGACGCATAGCTGGAACAGGGCGCTGCTAGACGTATAGCAGGAACAGGTCGCTGCTAGACGTATAGCTGGAACAGGTCGCTGCTAGTCGTATAGCTGGAACAGGTCGCAGTGGGTATGGCTGCAATATTCAGGTATTTTGAATTTTTAAAATATTATTATGAGAATTTCGTTAAGTGTGTAGATTCTTTTTTATTTAAATTTTCTTATTAATAATTCAGACATCTTCATAAATTTAAAAATAAAAAAAATCATAGATATTTCTCTATTATATTGTAAATGATAAATACTGTATTGAAGATGGTTCACATATGTTTATGAATATAAAATATAAAAAGTTTGGTAAATAGTGTTTAACATTGAGAATGCATATCTCCAGTTTTATACAATTGTGTTTTATTAAAATTCTAAAATATATTTTTAATATAATAAAAGTTGCCGAAAGAGAATATATTAATATCGATCTGAAATCAAAAACCAACTTTCACATTCACTGTTTTTCTGAAGCGCGCGCATAC